CTACCCTATGTCAATGCAGTCACCAACTCCAGTCCCCCATTTCCAATTCCAGCAGTAAAGGACGCTGCAATACCATCAGGCATCATGGAAAGCCAGATTCACTGGGCAGCAAAATGCAACTTGTCTACCCTACAAAAACACCTTGGTAAGGACTTGATTTCACCTTTACATATCATTAGGAAAATAAATTCAGTTAAACTGGATGTCTTGCTTAAATAAGTACCTTGTCAACGAACACTGGGTAATCTTTTGAAACCAGCTTCTGGCATTTTTCTCTGTTTCCAATAATCTTTCTGAATTCAAATATTCTGTTAAAAGGAAACAATACAGGAGATTCAATTTTTATCTAAAAAAATTGAGAGCATGGTCAAAATTCTCAGTCAGGCCAATCTCCCGAATATTTCAGACGCTAACGTAAACCACAAAGAAAATGAAAAATATGAGGCCAGTTTTGTATTTACAGACTAATCAGGCTACCACAGGGTAGGTATGCAAAAACATTTTTCAGTTTAAAAAAAGAAAAAGAAAAAAGGCTCAGGTACATCACTAGAGCTTGCAGTTTTCAAGTAGCATGTTACGTGTTATTTTTTTTAAAACTAATGCCATTTTTCAGGGCCTAACTAAGACATAAGAATCTCCTATGCTCATGCTTGCTTGTAGCCAAATTGGAGGCTACAACTAGGGATGGAAAATACGATGGACTGCTAGGCTCAAAGTGTAGTTGTCAACGGTTTGAAGTCTAACTGGCCACAAGTTACCAGTGGCATTCAGGCAGTTCATGGACAACATCAAACCAGAAGTAATGGTTGATAGCTGGAGGGTAGGGCTACTATTCAGAGGGACCTGGATAAGCTGAAGCAATGGGTCAATAAACATCCTAAAGCTCAACCATATAACTCCTAAGTCTCGCACCTGGGACAGAATACCCCAAGTAACAATACAGGCTGGGAACTGCACAGCTAGAAAGCAGCTCTGCAGAAGAGGACATGGCGATTTTGGCAGGCAACAAATTGAATGCAAGTCAGCAGCATTCCCTTGCAGCTACGAAAGGCAAGGGTATACCCTCTGCATTTAGCAAGAGGGTAGCCAGCAGGTCATTTGGAAGAGATTCTTCTTCTCCGGTCAGCACTCATGAGACCACATTTGAAATACGAACTCCAGTTTTGAGACCTCTGTAGTTAAGAGATACTGACAAGTTCAGCAGAGAGTCACCAAGGTAGCTGGGGGGGTAGAACACACGATACATGATGAGAAGTCGAGAGAACTGGGTTTGCATTGCCTGGGGAACAGAGAGAAGGTGCAAATCTAGCCGCTCTCTTCTGCTACCTACACAGGGTGCAGAGCATTACAGAGAAGATGAAACAAGACTCTTCTCAGAGGCGTACAGCAAGACGACAGCTGCAAGTCGCAACACAGGAAATTCCTATTGGAATATAATGAAAGAGCTTTTCACAATGACAGTGAGTGAGCACTGGAAAAGGTTGCCCAGGGAGACCGAAATCTCCATCCTCAAGAGACTTTCAAAATTTTGTTGGACATGGCACTGAGTGGCTTAAATTAACTAGGAAGTTAGCTCTGCCTCTAACAGAGACTTGGACTAGATGATGTCAAAATGTCCCTTACAACCTTAAATATTCCTAAGAAAAACTTGCTAATTCTTATGGTTCCAGATATTCATGAAGGTGTTACCTGACCAGATAATGAAGCAGATTTGGGTGTAAGAAGTAGACTGGGAGTGGGGTGGATATTAAAACATATGTAGGGTATTAGTTCTAAAACATTTATTTGGAAAACTTCCGTCAGTACTACTCTGCAAGAGTATTCTGGGCAGAAAAACGGTATAATAGGTGTGGTTCATCCACCTTCCAAACACCAAAGAAAACCAGCACATGAACAAAAGGGAAGAAAATTCAGGTTAACACCACAACAAAAGTAGCCCTGTTATGTAGCCTTTTTTTCCTTACAGAGAATAGCAACTACAGTAACTACTTTTGAAAGAGGAGGGTTAAGGTGTGAGATGCTAGTGTGCAGGCTAAGCTAAACGAAAAGCTGTTTGCTTTAGCTTGACAATAAATCCTTTAAAAAAAAACACACTTACGTAATTCCTCTTTAGTTAGGGGGAAGAGGCTTCTCTATAGGTCATAAATTGACATTTCCAAGGAATAATGTTTATGATGTTTTGATATGATATTTACTTTATGATATTATTTTACCATTTCCCCCCTTTTTACTCAGGGGACCTCACACAATCCTCAGCATCTTGCACTTGCTGAGGAATTTCTCAACTCTTGCTTATGAGTTGAGGATAAAACATTAGGATAGCAACAGCCACCACACCAAGGGTTTACTCAGCAAACCTTCAGATTCTGTAAGCAAGGTACTCAATCAGGTCAGTCAATTCCAGTTAACACTCAAAGAAATTTAATTATGTATTCTAATGGATTGTCATAGTGACCGGAAAAAAAAAAAAAGCCATGCATACTAGGGAGTGGTACTAGGAGTAGTCCCACTAACTCACGACTAGTGGGAGAAGGCTGTATCCTTCTGTCTTCATCCAGGTGAAGCCAGGCTGCTGAGGAACAGCTCATCTTCCTCCCACTGAGGGGCAATACGTAGAGCAATATATTTTTTCCTCCCTTCCGAGTAGCAGGCTAGCAAGCTTGCGTCTTCCGTTTTCCCCACAGCTTTTGATCTCATGCGTTTGGTTTTTTGTTGTTTAAGAAAAAGCCCTAGCTGATACCAGTATTTAAAAAATAAGAGGTACTGCTACCTCTCTATTTATTTTCAAGATGTGTAAAAAGAATGAGTTTACCACACCTAAAAACAATGCCTTTACAACTTTAGAAGTATAAGATGGAACCAAAAGTTTCATACTCTAAAGTCTGTTATCACCAAGTAACTACAAAAAGCTAGTAAGATCTCCTCTGTAATGTTAGCAGAATGATTCTTCTGCAAATATTCAGCAAGTTTTGCTCCTGCACAACACTTTTTAGGAGACAGACTATTTGAAGTATGTGCATATGCATACGTGAAAAATTTAACTGCACGTACATACTCGCTCAAACAGTGCCTGTTTAACACAAAACGCATTTAGCAAATCCTTTCAAGATTTTTCTTTAATCCATACCCTCCCTTAGTATGGAAATACATGATTTTTCTTAACAAAATAAACTTCAATGCAATTATTTAAATAAAGATCTAACAACTGTTGGTACTTCAGGGGGATTTTTGTTTTGTTTAGATAGCATGCAGCTCATGCTGTTACTGTGTATCAAAAAGAAAGTCACCTTTTCAGGTCTTCCGGCTTTCCCCATCCTCTGATGAAGAGTTTAGTGAGGAGCAGCTTTCTGTACAAGACATCCAATTTACTCACACCCATTAGCAGCAAACTGTCATCTGGGGAAGGAGGGGGAAGAGAAAAGACAGTTAAAGGATTTTACTTAAGTGACAAGTTCATACCTTGTAACCAAGTTGTTTCTTATTCCGATATCTGTATTAATGAAAAGCTCTACCATTTTATTCCGAGAAAGTCAATCTTGACATCCAGTTAAAGTCAATTTATGTAGTCTTAAACAAGATAGAGAGGTAGCTAAAACATAAACGCTGTTTTTTCAAAGTAATTTCAGACTAGGAATTTGAGGTACCTAATATAACCAGGAAGGCATTACATCACAGATGACAAACTCGCTGAGGATGCACATGAGGTCACAGAACTACATGTTCAAACAGGATTAGTTACATGCGAACTGGACTGATAAGACAAAGAATGGTTTGGATCTCGCTGGCATGTAAATATAGCTACGATGGCAAAAGTTTTTCAATCTTAACGAGCTTTTATAAACGCACTTAAAAGTGGAAGCCTAATCTAATCTGGAAGACTATATCTGTTCAACTATATAACTATCCACTTATAAGAACTGAAAAAAAAAAAGTAGCTTCATTTACTGATGCAGAGAAAGCTTATTTTTGTGAATTTGTCTTCACTGGCATCTTAAGAACACATTCATCCTAACTCTATTTTATCCCTTTCCAATATTTCCTAACACAATTCTTAAGCTTTTGAAAAAAAAAAAAAAATCAAGTTCCTGCTCCTTTCAGGGAAAAAAATCATGCCATTGAAATCCTTAATAGTATCACTACCCTTTAAGCAAACATACTTAGCTCAAATATGGCCAAAGCATCAAGAATTTAGGCAAACTTAGTATTATTTTGAAAGCAATACTTACTGAAGTGAATGGGGAGCCACTATTGTGCTTTTCCAGTGTGGAAGGAGAAAAAGAAGAACTCAAATCTGGTTTCTCTATCAGCAGAATACAGGATCTTCCAATTAAAAAAAAAAGTCCAGGATCTGTCTATACATAAAGAAACAAGAGATTTAATATCAAAGACTTGGTTAGCAAGTTACCTTTAGCTATTTTTGAATGTTTCCAAATTTCTCTGCATTAAGTGGCCTAAATAAACGATACTATTCTGGGGCATTATAAAGTTAATTCATGCTACCATAGCTTATTTATTCAGCCACATTTTAAATAGGGTCGTTCTAAAGTAAATTTGTCCAAATATAAGCTAAAATTGTGGTCAGATTAATAATACATCCCTCCGCACTCCTAAAAAGTCTACACTTAAGTATATCATTTATAAGCATTAAGAACTGAGATACAGAAAAATAAGTAGTACTTAGAATGACTGTCACAATAGAAATTTAAGACAACTTCAGCTACATAAATACTAGAACAAGCATTCTAGAAACCACAATGGTTCTAAGTTCAATCATTATAAGACAGAAACAACTGAAATCACCAGAAGGTCAAAGCAGGAACCTTTTGCTCTAACACTGGAGGAAGCATTAGTTCCTACTCCATGAACTTCCAGTGGTTGACCATAATATCAAACTGTTCTGATCTGTATCTGCTTGACCTAGCAGAAGAAACTACCATAGTCCTGAAATATGCATACAAGGAATGCCCAGATTACATTATGTTATGTAATATAACCAAGCTATGACACAAAATAAATATAATAAATTAGTAAGTGCTTGTGACTGTGATGTATCAATTCAGACTGATATAGGCTCTCAGTATCAAAAAAGCAGGAGGGGAGGGCGCAAAAGAGAGGGAAGAAACTTTTGCCACGGTCAGACTACAAAAATAAGTTTTATAAAAATATATATTTTTTTTGCTTCTTAAGTTAAAGTAACCAGTAAAAATCGCTTCTTAAAATTCCAGCTAACTTTCAGTTGCAAACAAGTAAAAAAGACCTTGCCAAATCTCTTCTTATGAGCACTCCTTTACACTTAGTAAATGTTTTCTGGTATCAGTAAATGTCTGCCTCTGTCTGGAAGGGCTTTCTACCTAAACGTTCCAAACTGAAGCTTGCCTGGAAAAAGCCGTATTGATTTCAAACTGCCCACCTTGGGGTTTTTTTGTTGTTTTTTTTTTGTTTTTTTAAAAAAAACCTCAAGGTGGTCAGCTGTGCTCCTTACGCCAGAATTTGCTGAAGCACAGCAAAACTACCATCAGAAGTACTATGGAAAATGAAAATCAATACAATTTACTTTTAACATATCTAGCAGCAAACTGCAACAAGTCAGCCGATGCTTCACAGTGAAGGTGTGAAGCTCAGAAAGGAGCGTGGTGAACAGCTGGAGGCAAGGAGTTGTTGCATCCATTCCAAGGAAAGCCATGCCAAGAGAGCACAGACCCAAGCAAGAGGCAAAGTAGAGTCAGGTAAGCAGTAAAGAACAGTATTAGTCAACCCGATGGCTGCGGGCCATTAGTAACCATTACTCCTAAACTTTCTGTAGTTAGCACTGCTTGCAGAAACAGCACTTGAATCTTTCACAATACCATACCTATAAAGAAAAATCTCAGTTGCACTAAGTATTCTGATACTTGGAACAAAACAGTAAATACAGGCGAAGCAGTAAGTCCGCTTTAGTCTGTGAAAAGGAAGCCAAAAGCCTCATCTTATAGCGCAGGGGAAGGAATGGGCGGGCAAAAGCTGTCCACAGGAGACTTCTCTTGCAGCGCGTGCTATAACAGAGGACATCACTGGGTTCTCCCTCCCATCCTTCCTGGGAAACGGGACTCATGACTTCAATAAAGTCCTTTCCCTTGCCAAATCTGTAGATACTCATGGAGAAATTTTTGCCAGCCTTCGCAAGACCACTCTGCTTTTGGATACAGGGAGATGGTTTGGCACACTTCTGGTGCTAGAGGTGAACAGGGCGGTGGACATAGGGACAGCAATACAGGGTGAACCTTCTCTGGGCTGCAAAGGACAATTCAGAGTGAATACACAGAAGATAATCTATGATATCAAAAGTATACTAATACTAAATTCACAGGGCTATCGTTCTGCAAGCGTACTGCTCACCAATGATTGTGAAAAGAAACGTTAACGAATGTTCTGAAGCCTGACAAAGCAGCTTTACAGATATGAAACAAAATAAACCCTCTATAAAATGAAAGCCAAACATGGGAGAAAACACAAAGCTGCTGCATTTTACAATGAGTTCAGAATCTGGAATGATGAGCTTTCCACATCGTACTAAAGGGATGCTAAAACAAGCTTCTAGATAAATACATCATATTTAAATGCAATATTGACTGAGATGGAAGAGCTGTCTCATCTCTTACTCTATTTCATTGATTGAATAAAGACTCCACTGCCATTCCGGATATTCCAATTAATAAGCCTGAGGTTAAACCAGTACTAGAAAGAGTACAAGAAATAGCAGAAGATTGATTCTAAGTATGAAAAGCATGTTATACTTTTCACAGTTAGAAGTATTACTGAGATAAAATACAGCTTTTTTTTCATTCTGTATATCTTAGCAATGAAAGAGTATGGCATGATTCAATCACTGCCTACTACGGTCTACATGGAAAGAGAATTTCAAATGCTTTTACTAGCAGAAAAGGCAAATCCAGGGTTGAAGGCTGAAGATGCATACTTCCAAAGTAGAAATAAGAAGCATAATTTAACAGTGAGAGAACTTAAGAAAAGAATCATCAAAACTTGTTTTGAAGCATGACTGAATCTCCACCACTTGATATCATGCATGTCAAGACCTTTATCAGGCTCATTATTTCCAGCTGACTTTTCTTACAAGGATGCTACGTAGTTGTGTAGGCCAAGAAGTCTTGCCTGCATTATGAATATTCAGTAAGTATATTACCTAATACAGTAAGTTTCACATCATTGTAAGTTGTGAATAGAAATTTTAGCTGATACAAAGGCATGTTAAGCAGTGAGCTATTAAAACCCACAACATTTTAAGAAAAAGGTGTGGCCACAACACAGTTTTCCAGAAGACCAGGGAATGAAACTTAGGGTCATAAACTACAGACTACGCTCTTGTTCTGGGAATAGTTTTTCCCTTTTTTCTCTGAAACCTTGTCTTGCATGCTAGCTATACAGCTTTCATGCACACACTGTTATTACATAGAAAGAGACGCAAAAATTTGTCTAAAATCCCAGTGCATATAGCCTTGGGTACATGAAAAACACCACTAAAAAGTAGATTGAGACCTTAATGAAGGCCCAGACTACTGCCTCCGAACAACATGAAACAGTTTCTATCAAGAGGTCAATATGATTTAAGCTAAGGATACCAGCTTTAAAGGACTTCCTGAGAGTCCTTAATTGTTCACAGCCATATTACTTCTAAAGAACCATCATGTTATGTTATGCTTTCCTTTTTCAACAGCAGAACTATGGCTCACTAAAACATCACGAAGAGGCCAAGGCAGTAAGCCATAACAAGCCAACTAAGAATTCAACGTGATGGGATACAGAGAAGCCTGGGGATAAACAAGGGGCCGAAAGGGCCTCAGCCGCAAGTTTTTCACCTACCGCGAAGCAGTCCCTTGCCACTGCCTACCTATTTTTGCTCTATTTGCTCTTTATTTTTACCAGCGAAGCAGGAGCTTAACTCAACGCTGACTCGTCCAAAGGGCAGGGCGAAACAAACGGGCGAACCGCCACCCCCAAAAAGGCCCACGCGGGCCACCCACACGCTCACCAGCGCCTTGCAGGGAAACCCCTCTCAGGCAGCCGTGCCCGGGCGGGACCGCAGCGGTCCCGGGGACGACGGACAAGCCGCGGGGGGCGGCCCCCCCACAGGGCGGGGGGGGCCCCCG